GATAAAAACAAAAACTTTGTACTTCTTTTCACCTAACACTATAAGGCTTTTATTCACGAGTAGGACATCGCAGCGAAATTAAACGAACAAATATTCGCTGGTCTCCAGGTAGTCTTACACATCTTTGTTGCACTTGATTCGGTTTGATTTTGGTAATGTAGGTAAAAGTCTTTGTTGAAGGATTTTTAACAGTTTATCCAGATGTACGAACGGAATCTTACATTCAATAGCCCACACCCGTAGTTTCGATATTTCTTCAATTTCTTCTACATCTATTATATTATGCTCGTCCACATCACTCTGATCGCTATCGTTATTATCGATTTCTTCATTTACAATGTGTTTGCACAAGCTCGCGCACGAGCCTGATCTCGAGAATTTGTTGAGGAAGGAAAAAATAAAAAAAATCCGTTTATTGAGAGAGAGATTGCGTTTCGTGATTTATGTAATTAAGAAAATTTAGATTGGGCCGAACTATACAAAGAATACCAACATTTGTTGCATAGGGGAAGGGAAACTGCCCTAAAACCTTCCCAGTATTCGTGAACAAAATTATACATTTGTAATAGAAAAATACGATATGAGTAAAATAAATGTATCAAATACACAAAAGAAAAAATGAATGGTTATCGTAGAACAGTCCTTTCTTTTGAATTATGAAAAGAGAAATATATTTCTTATATTCCTTGATAGAATTCTGTATTATTAGACAATGTTATTTATAAAAGGAATTGAACTTAGTATGTACGCATATAATGTATATTGACGAAGTCAAGCTCAAAATTAGTTGTTAGTTATCAAAGAAAGGATCGTTCAAAACATCGACATAACTCAAATTAAAAACATGAATATCAGTGTAGATATAATTCAAACAATCAGGGAAATAATGCATCAATCGTTTAGTTAAATTATAAATAATGGTTATCAGCCTTGTGAATAATATTCTTCGTGATTTGAATGTTAACTGAGTATTACAAAACTTGAGTATAAATCATGACAAAGGAATATTTTACTTCATGAGCTTTTACTACGACACGAGCGATAATTACGACAAAGGCAATGAATGCAACACAAGCATTTAATACGATACGGGTAATAATTTTCAAATGAGTGTATTGAATTACACTTTTAAGAGGCCTTCCTCTTTGATTGACACATTAACTCACCATAGAATAAACGTAATATTAGATAATTAATAATTCGCAAAATAATCACTAGGATAATATAAAGTAATTGAGTAAGAGATTTTATTGCAACGCAAGCAAACGGTTATTTGATAATGTTATTACAACGCCTGAAACGATTTATATGTATTTCGCAAGTAAAACATTCTAAGTTAGTAGTGAATGTAACGAATGTACGCAAGTTAACGTAATTAACTACAAAATATATTATAGAATTGATTATAACGAGTTAATCGCACAAAAGAAAGAAGTAAAGTTTTTCATTGTAAATAAAATAGTTGCAACTAAACAATTAATTAATTTATGGACTTTTAGACTGAGCTCAGTGTTACAATTAAACTCGAGATAAAATCCTAATATCTTTTCAAAAGGCGAGGAAGTCTTCCTCTCGCTTGCTCTCGTGAATTCTGCAAGCGATAACCGCAAAGGGTAACCTTGAGAGGATTGAAAATCCCTCTCGTAACGGTAGACGATAGTCTTACGTTCTCACCTCGTAACGGTAGACGAGAGTCTAACGTTCTCACCTCGTAACGGTAGACGAGAGTCTAACGTTCTCACTCATGTATATTGATAAAGGTTATGATTGAAGATAACATCACATAGGATGTTCACACAATGAATATATGTCGAAAGGACCAAGCCAAAAACCCATCTATCCAAGACTTCGAAAGGGCGTTTTATCTCATCCCGAAAAGGCTTTCTCGAACGTTCCAGAAAATGGCTGCCTTCCTCGAGCTTTCCACGTGCCGGCAAGGCTCGCTGGGACGTATCTCACTGGCTTCCTTTCTGCGACGACAGTTGTCCTTTATTTGCTGCGTATACGATCCACCGGTATATTGGCTGCTACACACTGAGAGGCAGATCTTGACTACCTCACAACTCGATTACAAGTTAACACCGAAAAGATGACGCAACTAAGTATTTTACTCGAACTGATTACAACGGGTGTGTAACGCACGATGTCCGGAAGACGAATGCTCGCTCGCCCGGGCTGCGCGCCTCTCCCAACATGCTCAAGCATGCGCGGTAAACTTGCGCCTCGCCGCCTGGGACGCAACGTAGTCGGCGCCGCTTGCGCGCCTTTTCACCGACCTACGTAGAATGCGCGGCCCGACCTATCGCATTACAACTGCCACTAATGGCCGCAAAAAAACAACACAACCTCTCTCTCTCTCTTTCAACTTCAAACACAATGTAAGTTTCTGAATCACTTCCATCGGAATCACTCAACACTTCTCCTACGTTTATATTGTCATTCATATGATCTACATAACAAATAATAAAATATATTTCTTCATTATACATTTGCTTCGATATTATTCATTACATGATATATATGAATTATAACCTTCTGATGTTGTTTCTGAATTACTTCCATCGGAATCACTCAAACCTTCTCCTACGTTTACATTTACATCATCCGTGTGATCTACATAAAAAATAATAAAACATATTTCTTAACTGTACTATTACATACAATACAATATTTGCTTCGATATTATTCGTGATGTATATGATTAATACCTTCTGATGTTGTACCGCTAGTAATTGGTTTATTACATGTATCGTATTTTTCTTCTTCAAATAATGACAAATAATGGCGTTTAAATTTTTTCATCTAGCGATATTTTTGCGCTCGAAATTTTGATTTTAATTTTTTATTACCATCTATTGTCGTGTGAGGCTACAACTACATCTATTGTAATGTTTATCGTAAGCGGTCGTAACGCTCGTCGTAATCGCTATCGTAAGCTCGTCGTATGACTTGATTCAGCTTGAACTCTTTCCAATTACGACGCTCGTCTGGCGTTGCAATTATAACCTAAAGTAACAACTAACATTTATCGTAATGCTTTGATCGTGGGAATTAATGAATAATAAAGACAGAATGACATCACAAGTGAGAATTATCTGAGTTTTTATGTAAATGGAAAGCAACTCTATAAACACATTCTTTTTCGCACGTCGAGAAAGCTGACAGGTTAGGTTATGTTGTAACGCCAGACAAGCGTCGTAATTGTAAAGAGTTCAAGTTGAATCAACTCATACGATGAGCTTACGATAGCAATTACGACGAGCGTTACGACCGCTTACGGTGAACATTACGATAGATATAGTTGTTACAGTAAACATGTAAACATTACCGCACTGTTTCGACTCGTGTGTGGAATCGGCCATCCGTCGCACAGATGACGCGCGCGCAATGGGCTACTTTCCACGCACTTTGTAATATAAAATAGGGTGTGTAACACGTGCGGGTTGAGAATTGGACACTCGTGCGGGTGATCGCACTCGTGTCCAATTCTCAACTTCTTGCACTTGTTACACAAATAACTATTATATAGATATATATTGGCATAGATATACGCGGTTTACGACGACTTCATTGCTTACGATCACGATCAAAGCGTTACGATGATGTAGTTGTAGCCTATCAGTTCTTCTACAACTGATTAGCGCTCAATTTAATTATTTATTATTTATTGCCGAACCAAATTATTTATTTACCATTTATTTATTATTATTTATTATTATTTATTATCATTTATTGCCAGATAAATTAGTAGAGCTCTGCCAGCCGAAGGACCCGGCCGCGGCAGGTGAAGGATAAAATAATCCTGTCTCAATTTTAACGTACATGTTTTAATAAATTTCTAAAAATTAAGAAGTCGATCTAGAAGCCAAAGAGAAGAATCTCGACAGCACCTAACGTGGCGCAAGTGTGGATTGCATTAGAAACTCAGTCAAATCCAGACCTGCGCCCGTTCAATTTTATGTAAATGCCATATTAGGAGCGGACATGGCCCTGATATGGCTCTTTCCAGTTTTTAGGATAAGGCTGTGGCGTGGCAAACTTGCATGGCGCTGACAAGTGTCGTGGCGCTGGCAAGGCAATTTCTACCAGGGCACTTACAGATTGAATTTTATTCTTTCCAACTTTGTACAGTTGGCGAGAGCATTAATACCCCGAGATGTAATATGCCTTGGGC